TTATTCATTGTATCTCAAATCTTAAAATAATGGGATAGGGTTACTCTATTGAATTTAATGTCATATTTAATACATTTAATTCAAATAAAGTGCATCAATGAGAAGATCATCAATGCAAAATGGTAAAACTTACAATATTAATACAACATGTAATGAAGCTCTTCATCATAAGTATGTACCTGTTCATTGAAGTAATCTTGCACTGTGGCATCAAGTTGCCATTCCAACGTTCCTCATACCCCTCTACAAACACTTTGTTAAGCTTGGGTGTCACTTGCTCTCCATAACCAAAGGTCTTCATTTTTCACATCCCACATCTCTATCGTCTCCAATGTGGGTATTCAATAGTATATGATCCAGAGCTAAAACAAGTGAGTGTGCCAAATAATAAAGGTCCAAGTAGTACAAACTAGGAAACACTATCCCTCTATTGATGCTTCTTTTTCTCCTTTCTATTTATGACCATTTTTCTATTGTTGAGCACCCCATATTTGAAGACTTTTGAGCTTCACCAGGCATTTGACAATGGAAGGGGGGTGAAGAGGTTTTTAATTTATCACAATCATATTTGTATAGTAGTTAGGTTTTCCAAACTTGGGGAGGTTATGGTGTGGTCTAACTCCTCATCCAAAGTTTCTCTTCTCTCAAAGATCTCCTCTAAATTATTGCAATACCTTATATCTATTTCTTCCAAACAAAATAGGCTTTGGAGTAGAGTTGCTGAAAAAGTTTTATCAACTTGTTGCATAACCAAAGTTTTACTCTCTTCAAGCTACAAGACTTATGGATTGATGGTCACCATTCCATAATGTGACAACTCGGGCAATTCTCCCATTCTAGAAGCTCTAACGATGATAGTAACTTGGTTCTCCCTCTGCAATCTTAATATCTTTACAATAAAAATATACGCCAATGATTCACAAGATGCGATAAAGACACTTAATTCATTGAACCTTCTTCAACTAGGTTATGACTAATACTCTTTAAATTAACAATATTCTCTAAAGTAGACGCTCGGTTCTTTTGAGCAAACCTTTAACCCAGTCATATATTTTTGAAATGTTGGTTTGTGAGACAAGCATATTTCTTGGTATCTACTCTCATCCATAGAAGCATCAAAATATTCACTATAACCTATTCTTAATTTAAAGTTGGATAGGTTATTTTGGAATACCAACAATTTTGGTGAGAGGTAAGGTTTGAATATTAATCTCTAAATGAGTTAATCGAGACAAAGCTTGTAAATCAACAAGATTGACATTGCTTTTCGAATTTTCACTTTCATATTCCCATTGCCAAAATTATTAATGTACAACTCTCTAACTTTTAAGAGAGGATATTACACCACGAGGTATTAGTGTAACTCCCAACAATTATTCAAATCTAATAACCTGAGATTACTTAATTGGCAAGGAATCAGGGATCTCTGAATAGAAGATGGAAAGGCTAAGAATCTCTAGTTACTTAGACCTCCAATCATTGATAGGTCACCCAACTTGTAACCATTAACATACAATGTTTAAGATTTGAAAGAAATGAAAGTGAATCAGGCAACGACAAGAGCGTGAATCCACTCAAGTTTAAAACATTAAGATTTTTCATTCTTGAAAGAAATTCTTAGGAAAAAAAATCTTAAAATTGCCTTGCAACATCAAAACCTGCAACTTGGGCATTCCAACTATTAGGTAGCTCCATAGTATTATTTGACATCAATGAGATGCATGTGAAATCTTCACATGTATCTCTTTGTCCACTTCGTAGACCAATGCCAGCTTTTACCAAGAATTGGTGGTTGTATTTAGGAGCTATGTAATGCGAAATCCGCCATACATCATGCATTTAACATACTCTCACCATCATCAATTAAGAGAAAGGAAGAAGTGATGGTACTTACAATAGCATGAACTCTATCTCTGACATCTTCTTGTCTCATCAAAGTCTTTAAACCACCCTCGACCAATTGCGTATCTCACTAAAACTTCAATAGGAATTTTGTAATCCTCTGGAAATAAGCTACAAAGTAAGAAAAGCAATTTTGACTCCACTTTTCGTAGATGATTCAAGCTCAGTTCCAAGGATGAAATAAGATCTCCTCCACTCCTGGATGTCAGATGGGTTGGACTTTTGAAGGTGTCGTGCCGCGTTGCTCCACACATGCTTGTTCTCGCCCTTTAAATCCTGCTATTGTTACAATTGCAAGTGGCAAGCCACCACATTTGGCAGCATCACTCTTGCAATAGAGTTTATGTCAGAAGTTTCGACATTCGAGTCGACAATCTTGCTGAAAAGTGCCCAAGATTCTTGTTTTGATAAAGTTCAACTGTATATATCTCCTGACACTCCATTTGATTACATACAGTTTTGCTTCGAGAGGTGATTAAAATTTTAAAACTCTATGGTCACTCCCAAAAGGAATACCAATCTCATCCAATTTGATTCTTTCCGAAACGTCATCTAAAATAATGAGGATTCGCCTGCTTCTTGATTGTATCCCATAGGAAACTTGTCTTGCTTTTTCGAATTAGCCGGCAGAAGTTCGTTGCACCTAACACGTCAGCAATATGCCTTGAATCTTCATAATACTGGGGGTTTGAGAGACAACCGCCATCATACAGCACCATACATCTTAGCTTCTTTACATGTTGGCTGATTCTTTAACTAGTGTGGTTTTACCCACACCCCCCATTCCACATATTCCAATTATGCTAACATTATGATCATAATAACGCCTTCTAAACTTCGATCGAATTCTAGATTCGAAAGGCCAGAATAAAATACTTTAGATGACGATATAATTCCAGATGGAGGAGCAGGACAAGACACGCTCTCAAAGCTTTCCACTTCCTGGAGGTAATCAGAAATCACCAGAGTATGCTTCTTTGCCTCCTTACTGAATGATAATGTTGTTTGAGATTAATGCGACCACCCTTGAGGCACCTTTGTGGCTTTGTCTTCCTCTTCAAAAAACTTTTGAGCTCTTGTGGAAATATTGTCAACTTCAACTATCCAACTTTGAACATTAGCAAAGATGATTTCTCCATTCTTTCAGCAAATTCGATTTCTTTTGCACCATGTCTCTGCCATCTGCCAGCTTCTTAGATTGCTTTTTCAAGTTTTCAACATTGTTGTTGTAATGAAACAAGTAACCAAGTTGATCACCAGGGGCTGCGAACCAGCACTTTCCAACCTCCACAGTAATTGAAGAAAGAAATTCCATGGCTTCTTTTTTTTTTTTTTTTTTTTTTTTTTTTTTTTTTTTGCTACTAAGTACTCTTTGAAGGTGAGAGAAGATAAAAGAAGGATTTGAAGAAAAGGTTAGGAGAAATTTAGTGGTTAGTTGCAACAAAGAGGCGGACACAAACACAATCAGATGAAGAAATTAATTAAAAAATGAATGATTGAGTGTAGTGAAATGATAAGAACAAACGGAAAAAGAGTGAAATGTTTTCAAGCAAGGTGAAAGAGAGAATCTATTTGAATGATTGAAGGTGAAAGAAGGATAAAATATAAGCAAAGGTGTTTAGGAGAGATTTTGTGAGCAATTTGAGAAATGATAAGAATAAGAAAAGCACAAATTAAAAGGAGGAGGAGTATATAAATGAAATAAGAAAAGAGAAAAGTGATATTTGAAGAAGGAAAGCATGTATTCATCTTTCTGCTTTGCTGTCAAGCCTACTTGGTTCCATCCTATTAATTACAACATATATCTTTCTTTACTTTTATAACATGTTAAGTGTTAGAATCTACAATTAATTTATTCTATAAGAAATGTCTTGGGAAGAGAATATCAAAATCTGCACTGAGCATGAAGAATAATTAGTGGGTGGGTTAAAACAAAATTACTACACAATCAAATTTACGTATAAAATCATATATAAGGATAGCAAGATAATATTTAAAATCTACTTCATTTTTAACTCCTGTGTTAAATTACTTTGATAATATATTATTTGCGTCATGAAATGATAAAGTAAAGAAAGAAAAGCACAAAAGAAGAAGAAATATTTGTATGAAATAAGAAAAGAGAAAGGTTGCAGCATAAAGCAAAGAAAATTAAATGTGTGAAGAGGAACGTATGAATGCATTTGAGTGAAGAAGGAAGGTATATATGATTTCAAGCAAGGGTATTTTGGAGGACGAACCTAGAATAAGAAAGAGAAAAGTTTGAGCATAGAAAAGTGATTATATGAAGAAGGAAAGCATGTAATTCTCTGAAATTTTTTGAATGATTCCATCCCTGCCTTTGCTGCCAAGGCTGCTTGGTTTCATCCTTGTACAACATCATTCTACTTTTATAACATGTTAATGCGTCAAAATCTATGAATAGTCCAGGCGCTTGGTTTCCAAGGTGTAATATAGAAAAGCAGTCTTGGGAGTGAGGCCAAGGATTGAGATTGAACCATTCATTTCCAAGGTGCATTATGTAATATAGACCTTCCTTCTTCATGCCATTTGCTTTTCTTGCTATACTGCAAGTGCAACCTTTCTCTGTTCTATTTCATAATAAATTTTGTCCTTCTTTTTATGCTTTTCTTTCTTATCATTTTATAACACAAAATATAATTATCAGAGTAGTTTAACACAAAAGTTAACATAATATATATGGGCGCGGACAAGACAACTTCTCCTAGGCCCGACCCCCCATTCGAGGATAATCTGTTCCAGTGGGATTGGGTTTTTCCAGGCAATCGATCCCATAAGTATTTGCCAAAAATAACATGAGCAGTAGTTACCAATACCTTGGCAAAATCTCAGAAAGGTCAATAAATTAAAGTAAATGTTAGGGTAGAAAATCAAAATTGAGCAAAAGCTTAAGGGCGTGGGGCAAATCAATAATATTGAAGGGATTTTATTACAAAACATAATGTCCAATTCTAAATTCTTATCTTGAAAAAATAGTTCCTCTCTCTTCTTTTAAGTCAAAAAAAACGAATCAGTTCTCATATTTGGAGTGCCGCGGTGCACTATCTAGTATTGCCATTCAAAGCGCCAGTTAAAACTTATTTCAATGTATAATATAATTCACTAAACAAAGGAATAAAATACTTTACCATTCTTTTTACAACAAAACTTCCCCAGAATGCTTATCACGAGTTGATCGATCGAGACTGGGAATATTGTAGGATCTACAATCTTGATAGTCCGGAAACTTATGGGATATGAATATGTTGGGAACGTGGCCCGAGCAGATGAGTTTACAACATCGTCTTGTACACTTTACAAATAAATTAGTAATCTCCTCTCCTGCTGCTGCTAAGCTCACTTGTAATCATGTCGTCGTTTTCACATTATTGCAATAGTTCATTATACTCGGGATTATAAGCAGCAGCTAAATGCAGATGCTTTACAACTTAGCCTTGCGACCTACATACATAAAGCACTGAAAACCCCAGTAGTTAGTGCCCCAACAATAGACATAAATTGTAATGACAAATATGATCAATTCTGAGACGAGCGAATATCAGGTTATAAGTAAAAACACTTGAGAAATGATTGTGTAAATTCATACCTTGAAAGTAATACCAATCCATCATAATAATGGGCTTTGGAACTTTTTTCCTCTAGCTCTTCCAGATTTGCATTCTTTCCAGGTGTACAATCCTTCAGCCATTTTCCCTGTAACATACACAAGAAAATGGAAAAATGGGAAAAAAAAAAAAATGAATGCCCTCTTCACGAGTAATTATATTTTTAAGCCTGCTCACTGAGCTCAAAAAGTTTACAGTGGCCCATGGCTGGGTCCCAAAATTGAACTCAAATTGTGGCATAGTTTTGAGAAAAATTGTTACACTCGACCTTTTATTTCAGAGTAGTGAGTAGAATCCCAAAAGCATCACTGAGTTTTACCTGTCTTATATAGGCACACCGGCCCACTGAGAAGCAACAATTAAAAGATCAATTTTTCAATTTTGTGGGATGGCTGGAGATGAAGAGTGATGTGATGTCAAAGAAACAACTTTTGTTAATGACAGAGCATAACGTTGATATGAGCAAGAAAAAATACTTTCAAAATTGAAAGAATCCAAAGCTAGGATAAAATAAAGTGGGTGTGACTAAATCACAATGTATGAAGGTTTTATATGCTCTTTCCAACATAATAAAACCGTTTTATTTAAACTTCTGTAATTACCAAAATAATGCATAAAGCATGCTTCCCGCCTATATAATCCTACTATATCCTAAACATCTGATTGTGAAAAAACATAAGATAATTAAATTAAACTAGACGGACCTTGGAGATAGCACGCTCCAAATATTCAATAGCCTCCGCTAGCAGTCCTTTCTGCAGTTGAGTCTGCCCCATAACTATCAAAGCATTTATGTAATCAGGATCCTCATCAAGCGCCAGTCCGTCATCAAACGTTAACTACTAGGGCAACAGCTCTTATTCGATGTTTTAATAAAATAAAACTACAGAATGCGGAGGAAGGAAAGGGGGCATAAGAAGAGCAAGTTACTGCAAAAAAGAATTTGCTCTTTCTTTCTGTACTTTTGAGAAGTGTTTGACTGAAAGCTGTCCAAAATCCAAACAACAAAGATTGAAGACAACATGTAACACAACCCTTACGTTCAAATTGTAGTTAAGGTTCCGAGGTTAGTCACTTACAGCTACCAGCTCTTTAGGGGTTAGGTCCTTGACAGATATTTTGCATTGCTTTGCAGGGAAATCCAAATGTTTTTCAGGACTATCAATTTCTTCAGATTTTTCCAGTGCTGATGAAGCATCCTTGTCAGGTGACCCCAACTTTGTGCGAACAGCAGGATATTTGAGGGATTATGATTTCACACACTAAACCAACTAAAACATATCACACATAGGAACAAATTCTTTCCAAAAAAGAAAATTGCAATAACAACCTGAATCATACAAATTGCAATAACAACCTGAATCATACTAAATGTGCTATTAGTAACCCAATAAGATGACCCAGCAAATCAAGGCAATTAAATTAGTGATTATACCCAGCACAACGTCACGGGAACTTCCCTATCAAATACTTACCTTTCTGATAAGGGTAAAGATCAGCAATTAGAAAAAGAAATTAAAATGAAATAGATAGCAGTGTTTTCACAATCCAATAGGCCATTGGCATTATCAGTATTTACGTATCAACTTTTGCCCATTCAGCCGAGGATGAGGTAACATATATGAACCACTTAGTTTGAATGGTCCCTAAAATCAATTATGCAATTAGGAATCTATCCTATGAGCTTAAATTCTGAGATTAATGATTACTCAATAAACTGTGGACAAATCCAAGAACAAAAATAAATTTCACTGTGAATCTCAATAAACAATAAAAATATCCAAGAAGGTAAGCTAAAAGGGAAATCTGATTTAAAATCATGGAACATAATTTCAAAGTAGAAATGAAGGTAGAATATTTTACTTGAGGAATACAATAGCCAATAAAAAATAAAGGTAGTGACCAGACATCCAAATATCTCTTGTAATACTGCAATAAGGAAGATAAATAATTTTTACTAAATATGGTATAAATATTACAGGGGAAATTATATGCCATTCTTATTCTCACAATTGACGTGAACATAAAATCTGGACAGTAAAAAATTTAGAATGTAATAACATAGCAGTAAGCAAACCTCAACAAAACTGTTCGTGACTCATTTTTGCCGATAAGCCATGCTTCTTATTTTCCAAGTGAAAATTTCCTAAAAGAAATCTGGAAAATATATCAAACAAGTAATAAGATGACCAATGAATATTAATTCACAATTCTATCACTATTGGAAAGATGGGGCCTAAAAGACCATGAGGGAATTCAGTCAAGTTCTGGAACCACAAAGTCCCACCCTGCAATAAATTCCACGGACAGAGCATCGTACATTCTATGCTCCTATAGCAAAATAACATCACATTCAAAAAAAAATATGAGACATATGCAGGGGAACGAAAAGCAAAAAGAGTTCCTTCATTGATGAGAATATTAAAGATAAAACAGAGATCTTGGCAACCAAATTAAAATTGTAAACTGTTTCATTCACTATAAAACTAATAAGATGAGAACCAACAAAAACTATAGAAATAAGATGTGTAATTCTCATATGTCATCATTATAAAATTTATGCTGCATGTTGCAAGAAGCATGGCCAAATTGTATGGTTCAGAAACATATCAAGTCATTTGTAACCCAAAAGAAAGTAATAACAAGACTGGTAACCCTCAAGGATATTAATCTATGAATACATAAAGACGATATTACTATAGTAAGCATTAATACATATATATATATTTATTGTTCTATACAAATATTTAAGCATGTTTGTGCCTTACACGATCAAACCCTGGATGACCCTCCAATGACATTTTCCAAATTCTCGTCACACCTAAGAGAAATCATGGGACCTGGAGAATTGAACAAAACACAACAAAATAAATAAGTACAAAATTTATTCAACCAAACTATACACTAGGCTTCTGTTGCTTAAAGTTTTAGCCTAAAGGACAGAAGACAAATACATCAAAATACCAAAAGAATTAAGAAAAAAAAAAAAAAAAAGCAAAGAAAACAATAATAGTACATAAATAACTGGCTCTCTATATAGATTCCAGGCTTTTGAATCTAACTCAAAATCCTCTATCCCAACATCTATCTATTTCCTTCAGTTAGAAGATGTGTATTTCTTTCTATTGTCTGTGTATCTTGGCTTGAGATGGGAGAAGAAAGTTAAAGTTATTTACACAATATATATAGCTGTGTCACCTGGATGGACAAGGGAGGCAAGGAACCACAGAAATGAGGGGCACCCCATTGCTTTTGCTTCCCTCGGAAAAAGTGAAATTTGATCAATGAAACTCCTTCCTGACTGAGGTGGTGGCAATGGAGGAGGCACTATGAGAAGTGCATATGAGAATCAAACAAAAATTTATTGCAAATTAAATATATGAGCAACAATGAAAGGGGGAGGGAGAATGACCCTGCAAGAATTCCAGAAGAATGATCTAGTATCCAACTGTTAATGAGGACGATGAATAGAATTACATACGACTCTCAACCTCGGAGGCAAGTCTAAATTACACAATTCTATGCAGGAAAAGAAGAATAAATATCTCCACATATCAGACAATTGCTAATAAGTACTGCAGCCCCACTTGGAATGTCTACCAAAAAAAACACATGCACAATAGAAACAGAAACTACACTGATACACGGACCATTGTGTGCATAAATGCCCTTACCAACCTTAACGGCATCAAAGACAATGATACAACATTGAGCATAAGATAGACGATTTTTTGGAAGAAACCTTCAATTCAAGGAAGAAATCATTCCTTCCTTCTGTCTTTACGTATTGACCGCCAAAACCTACTTCTACTCCTACTCCTTTAACAAACAAATCATGGTCAGGAGTCTATACATCAGATACAGGCTTTAATGACACCACAACATACCCATCAACGTGAAGCAAAAACAAAAAAAAAAAAAATCAACAATATTCTGCCACGCTCTACACTCAAGTTGGTAAAAAAATGCCAACTAAACTTAATTTGTTAATAGTTCATGTAGCTTGACAACCTCTCATTAAATATTAACAAGCCAGTAATCCCAGCATAACTTAAAAATTCCACAAATATATAAGGTATACAAATCCTAATCTAGATATCCTCTTCGGTCCACCTTATCGGTGTATGATATCACACCTTCAAGAAAGAAACTAACATATAGTAGAATTTACACTACTGCATTTGTGTTTTCAAGTTTTATTCTCTAGCGAATGTGTACTGACTAGAACTCCAAAGAACGGAAGTAAGTAGAGCTACAAACAAATTGCAAGTGAAATGAAAAAGCAGACTTACATTTAGGAGATAACTCTCCTATCCTTCGCAGCTTAAGAAGCTGCAAAACAACAACAGGAAGCAACGCAAGTCTGAATGCCGAAGTCGAAGTAGCAATAATTACCCACCTGAAAAGTCCTCATCCACCAACTAATTAAAACAAAACATCTCCAGAGTGAATTTCATTCACCATGAAAAGGAAGATATAAAAGAATTTAAAAGAAGAAAATAACATTTCAAAGAAAGAGCAATTTTATAGCGCTTTGTGACAATTTTCCACTTCATGAAACACATTTACACACAAAAGTAGGCTAGAGAAAGCAAGCTTTACCAAGGGACGCCAGAGAGATTATGATAAGCATCGAGCACCGAAATCAGAGTTTGAACAGGAAGAGTCGACTCTTCACCACTGCCAATCACTCCGTCACAAAAGTTAACAATCTCCGCCGGGATCCGCACAGAGTCAGTGAACTAGTCGTCGTGTACTGAACCGGAGTGGAAGATATGCGAACCCACCGGCGAGTGCTTGAAGTAGGGCGACTTTGACGGTTCTGGTGGTGGTAGTGTCGCGTGGAAGAGGTGATAGAGCGGCGGTGCGTGAGGTTTTTTTACATAATAAATTGAACTTATTATAATTTTATTAAGAAAAGAAACAAAATTTTTTATTAGGATTAAGAGATTTAAAAAAAAATAACTTATCTGAAAAATTAATTATAATTATAATTGAAAATAATCATTAGATATTTTTTTTTTTTTCGCTGTAGCCAGGGGGACTCAGCCATCCCTTGCTCCGCCCTTGTTTTTGTGGATTATAATTATTATATTCCACACGGGTTATTAGACCTTAGAGATGCTATCAGAAAATCATAGAGTTTATGCATGTGGGAAACTATGATAATCGACCTAAGCGAAACCAATCAACACAACGATCGGACGAAATAATGGTCAATGCCATCTTTTTATCTCACACACGTACACCCACACAACTTCTAACATCATCTAAAAGAGCTAGTGAATATTAAACAATAACATAAATGCAGAACATGAATATAAATGAAGAACATGTACAGAAATGAAGAATAAGAACATAAATGAGAACATCAATATTAAGCATGTTAAAGAACATAAATTAAAAACATATATGGGATCTTTTGCTATCTATAACATTATCAGAGTATTACAACAGCCTTGAGGTTGAGGGAAAGTTAGAAATATGAAAGAAACATGGAAGAAGTATAGTAAAGTGTGTAGAGAAAATATGGAAGCGTAGAGAAAATATGGAAAGAGAAAAGTGAGAAATAAACAAAAATTTTACAAAGTTCCTCCTCTCTGAGAAGGTAAAAGGCTTTATTTATAGATAAAAGGGATACAACCACTCATAAATGAGTTATTGAATACAAGACTAACCTTTTTGAATTTTTTTTTTTTTTTTTTTTTTTTTAACAACATTAAGTAGCCTACAATCCTTGACAAAACATAAGCTTACAATACTTGACTTTTTACAAAGGATAAGGGAGATATTACATTGAGATGGCAAATTGCCATTTAGTCCACCCCTATTTTACATAAAGGACACAACTATTAATTTTAGGACACACAGGTCTTTAATCGTCTGACAAGTTGGTAACGTGCCACGAGTCTTCATCCTGGAAGTCGAGACAACCCATTGATTAGATCCAGTTAGCAAGGATTTGTCGAGAAGATGTATCTAGATGAGTATCCGAAGAAATATCTCGAATCTGAGATGCTTGCTTTGCAGAGGTACTTGGTGCACGCATGTACTGTTGTTGCCTGGATTTATGGAGATAGTAATTACAAAACTACTGAAGCTCTTCTTCCTGCATAGTATCTGGCTATGAGTCTGGGTACCACCATTCTGGATAATCTGAATTAGCATCGGATAGAGCATTGATGGAACGTATGCATGTCTGTTTGGCTTGGAGTAATTTCTCAGTGTAGTCTGGAGGAAAGAGTTCACATGGAGCATCATCGTGAAAGGATGGCCATATTGCATTTGGAATGATCTGATTTTTTTCAAAAATGATTTTTTGAATTGACCTGGTCTCAACAGGATGATCAAACATATTATGGACGAGGTCATATGGATAAGACCGATGAAATGTAACTCGATGTTGTGAAAAATATAGGCCATCAGATCGGATGTAGTGATGTCTACGAAAAAACATGATAGACCATGCCATTTTGGTAGACATAGGACCTTTGTACCGGGCAAGTTGGTGAGCAAACACAGATTTTCATTTGTCTAGGGTTTTAAACCATCGGGGAAAAGTCATCAAAGAGCGTAATTCAAGGGTTGAGGTTGACTGATATTGGGAAATTATTTTCAACATATGATGGATTGGGAATTGAATGGCAATGTGGTATTGGTGTAACATATACCAAAAGAACCATAATAATTCTTCTGGAAATATGATATCAAGACTTGGAGGTAAATAAAAGATTTTTGAAAAGGGGTAATCTGGATGGACCCCTAACATATCATACATGGATTGACCATATTTTTCAATACATTGAAGTTGGTAAGAAAACATGAGGGTAGTAGCATTTTCATCAATGGTATGCATTCGAACAAGGTCATCAAATTCAGGAGGTACATCAGGAGAAAGGTTTGGTGAAGAAGATGAAGAACAGGAACTTGACTAGGTTAATGGTTGGAACATAAAACATGGAAGAGGTTTGGATCTAGGGTTCATGAAACCAACTTGTTTAGTTTTAGGTCTGGATAAATAATCTGCAATGGCGTTGGTGTGACCTTTGATATGCTGGACGGTGAAGGAATATTTACTGAACCATTTTGTCCAGCAAAGTAACTGCTGATGCGAAACCTTTTTCTTGTGGAAACGAAGAATTTAATCAAAAGACTTCATATCCGTTTCAACAAAGAAATGATGTCCAACAAGGTCGAATTCAAACCTTTCAATGGCATTTTTTACTGCTAATACTTCCTTGAAAGTAGAATGATAATGTTGCTGGTGTGGTTTGAATTGTCCATTCTGGTATCCGCACAAATGTCGTACCTTGTCCTTATCTTGTTCAAAA